CAGTGCGAGTAATTGGCCCGTAAATTGTAAACTCAAGCTTGTTTGTTCTCGTTTCTACACCCCACGGGCCTTGTAAGAGCCAGGAAACTCGGACTGAAACAATTTCAGCTGGACCTGGGCAGCTGGAATCTCCATTTTTTGCAATGGAGACGGGCAGAAGAATTCCCGATCCTCAGTCCATATCCATGTTTCACTCCCCCCACCCGCTCGTTCAAGGAAAATATTGCCAGGACCCCACTATCGACACGAGACTTTAACAGAAATGTTATCTTTTGCTGGAACTTTACCGTATTATATCTCTGGGCGGGGTTCGTGCAACGCCTACGCTGGAGATGGGTACAAACCTGTTTACGGTCGTTCAGTGATTGGTTCTCAGGCAGGTAGAGCTTAATTGGCTCGAGCCACACACCGTGTCTACAATGAGTCACAGAAGACTGCGGAGGCTTCGCGCCAGGGGGCGAATTTTAGGATGAGGGCAACGGATAAAAGCAATTAAGTGGCGGCGGCGCATTTTCAGGCTTACGGGTAAGATGCTCGAGGATGGTTCACGTATTTCAGTCGCCGTTTACACCTGTTCATTTCGCGACCAGTACAGCATTTTGCTTATTATTTGCCGCCACTGCCGAGATACAAAGACTTCTCAACACCGATCGCAGTATCACTTTTGGGCAAAACCAACTGGTATTTTGTTATGGAAGGATCGCCAACAATTCTCTCAGGTTATTTGTTTGAGCGTCTATTTTGCTTATCGAAAGCTCATATTGACGTCTCGTCGGCAGAGAAATCTACTTACCGGCAATGTATTGTCGCTCTGTCATCGAGGCGTCATCGGACTATGTGACATTATTTACAGTTTGGCGTGTATCATGCTCGAGCTCACCACGTTTTGTTAGCGGTGTCATTACTGGTGGGCGGCCGTTTGTTCGCCAGACGTCGACTTGCTTACTTTGCAACTAGTCCCCGCCGAAGACTGTTTCGACGCCCTTAGAGGTGCGCAGTGCCCTCCTGAGAATGTCAAAGCTCTATAACTTAAAGAACATTTGGTCTACTGTGAGCTGTGGCACAGTAAGAAGTGGGAATTGGTCGCCACTTAACCATGTCTATTTAGCGATGACGGACACCCCAGCACTAAGTTGGACACTTGTGGCGGCATCGACTGGCTGTTTTCAATCCGTGAATTTTCTAAGTTGTAAACAACTTCGACTTCGATCTACTATCAGTTCGCAAGCATCGATAAGAGAATCTATATGCTTTCAGGTAGGAAATTTGCGACCACCGGCGTGGACGACAGACACAAAACCTTCATAGTGGATGACTTGAGGTCCCTTCGGCGTCTGCTTATGGTAAATGAGTACGCGCGCAGTGCCGTCGAAAGGAGCAGACGACGCCGGACAACGAAAAGTCAGTAGCAGGGAAGTCGAAGGCGCCCTGGGGATCGGCGCTGCCTTCTCACCCTAGAAAACATTGCGCGTCATACGCTGCGTCCGAGTTAGTTTGTGCCAAATTGACTAAATCGAAGAATGGCGTGACGCCAAGGCAGTAGGAGAAGTGGGACCCTTGCCCTTGGTGGCAGAACATTATGTCACAGCCAGACGCACTTTTGCCCTCGATCAAGTTTAGGTATTGTGCGAGAAACAGTCGATCAGACGCTGAAAGCCGGACACACAGCTGTTGTCCGTCTGTACCTACAGGGTCGCAGGTCCACGACTGCACTAGATGCCATGGGCAAAGAAGTCAGAGTTTTCAGTAAGTTGATGTTATTTGGAGTACCAACGCGGGCACTGAAGCAGTAATTATCGCAAGCGCAAATACAGGTGGTAAATTGCCAAGGAGCCTACACCCCATCGCCCTGAAACTGGTCACGGTTGAAGTCACTGCAGGTATAGGGAGGCAGTCGCCACGAGGACAACCAGTCTCATACCCCCGCGAACGGATAATCTAAGACCACAAGTTTAGCAGCGTTGACAGGAGCACTGGTAAATAGCCTTAAATGTTTCGGCTGGACAGTGAAGTAGCATGAACACGAAGCCATGTTCATCAGATTTTTACAGGCCACTGTGGCAGAGTAAATCGAAACCAGATTATAATATCCAAA